CTGAAGGTTAGAGGCATAATATAAAGATTAGCCTATGAAATGCTGAAATCAGTTTGTTTTTGTCTTCCCTATTAATTTTTTTTAAAAAAACAGAAATAACTGACTAGTATATCAATTTAATTTAATTTGCATTAAAACTCAGGAAAAGCCTCCTAGGCATTCAATCTGATTGCTGATGACTTCCTAATACAAAAAGTTTGTCCATTGCCTTCTGGACTTTTATTTTCAGCTCCCTTCCTAGCCTACTGTCTTTAATATTTTCTGGAGTTCTCCATCCACATACTAAGCAGGTCTGGCTCTGCTTAGCGGTCAGTTGTCAGTCATGGTTATCTAAACGTTGTCAGGTGGCTTTCAACAAGGGGCATACAATAAAACCCAAATCTTAATCTCTGTGGTTTATCATATTCCTAACCCTTCTCAAAATTAAAGGAAGTTTCAGTGAAACCATGAAAACAGCGAAACTCATTTGAAGAGACGAAGACGCACCTTTGAACTACCAACATAAGCTGTTTATTGGCTAATAAACTTGGCTACTTTTTGTCTTAGCAAGGGTCACTATCACCTTCTCAACTTTCGCTTCCCAATAACTCGCCGCGAGACGGCTTTGCATTTCAGGCTGGCTGAAACGTTTAGCCTTTGTATGTCAACGGCAGCGGCAAAACCAGCAGGCAAAACAAAAACCCCTTTCGCGTTTAAGGTCGCGCTTTGCCTTCTCTCCGGGTGCCAGGTGCCTTTGGCACAAAGCGCCCGCCGGGGAAATCTCCTTTTCCTTGCTAGCTTTCCCTTCCTTTTCCCGCGCCTGGAATTCGGGGATTGTGGAGAGCTTTTCGGAAGAAGGCTCAGGGGGGAAGGAGACTCCGCGCTCCGACCTCTCCTGGTCTGTTGAAGAGGCGCCGCTTCTCCTTCCCGGAGGCCCCCAGCAAATAGTTGCGCGGGGAGCGAGGCGAAGAGGGCGCTCGCAGAAAGCATCCTTTGGCGGAGCAACAAGGGCCTCCCCGCTCCCTGGGGTCGGGGGGGGGGGTTCTCGCCTCTCTCCCGCCCAAGTCTTCCCTCGGCAGCCACCCACAGCACACCCTTTCTCCTCCCCCTCTTCCCCTCCCCGCCCCGGCTTCCCTTGCGCTCTCTGCACGCACGCACGGAGGGAAGTGAATGGGGAATCAAGAGGCTGGAGTGCGCGGCAAGTGGCTGCTCCTTACAAATGAGCCTCCAGGCAGCTTTATCTCCCCACCCTCTCCTGGCCGAAAGAGGAGGGGCAGCCAAATGTGGCCGCTCGCTGCGTCGGAGGGGAGGAGAAGAGAGGAGGGGGAGGGGATTTGTGGTGGGGAAAGAAGAGCAGTGGCCCGTGCGCGCCTCTTGTTCCCGGTGTGATTTGCAGCCAATCATCAGTAGGTGTCCACATCCCCGCATCCTCCTCACCTCCTCGGCGCTGCGGAGCCTTCTCACTCCTCGCAACCCCCCCTCCCCCTTCCCCTCCGCCTCCTCGCTTCCTTCCCCTCCTCCTGCAACCACACACACGCAGGCACGCACAAACAGCGAGGGGGAGAGCGAGTCCCCCCGGCTGCCACCCTCCCTCCATCGCACACAGCGACAGGAGAGACGGACGGAGCGCAGCGCGCAGGGAGAGACCACCGAGCACCGCCGCCGCCGCCAAGCGCTCCCACACATTCACGCGCGCACACACACATACACACACACATTCAGTGCCTGCTCTTCCCTCTCCCCCCCTCCCTTCCCCCCTCCTTTCTCTGCTACCAGAAAAAAAGAGGCACTTACAGGTATTTGCTTAGTGGATCGGAGTCCTTATTTCTTTCCCACCAAGCCTCCCCACCCCCCCACCCCCAACCCGCATCACCGCCGCCCTGTACAGTTTGTTTACAAGTATCAAAGTTGTAATTTGAGGAGCGGCCAAAGAAAGACACCTCGGGATATTTTTCTTTTCTGTGGTTTTTTTTTTTTTACCCTCTCCTTTGTGTTAGGGAGTGATGTGCAACTAAATAAAGACCAAACAGGCAGGTTAAACGTCTGCAAATCCAAGCCCCCAGTTCCCCCCCAAAAATACAGAGACTGGTAAGTGATTGTTTTTGGTTCTTTCTTCCTTCCTTCCTTTCTCTCTTTTCCCTTCCCCCCTTCATGCGCGCTCTTTCGCTCTCTCTCTTTTCCGCCTCTTGGACCGCTGGGATTGTTAAAGTAGATGAATGCTAAGCTTCAGCAATAAAAGGCGCTGCTCTATTAATTTATTAATTAATCTGCACCAGCCCCTCCTCCTGAATGTTAAATATGACCTTTGATCTCTGTCTGTAGCAGAACAGAAATGCAGTATTGAACATGAATAGTCACATTGATTTAAACTGAGAAAACCGTGGATTGGGAGCTGCTTTTAATTTTCTTTTTAATCTGGCTATAGTTTTAATATTGAAAAAAAAATCAATAGCTGCGCTTTAGACTACTCTCGCGCTCTAGAGATAACATCGATTAAACAATAATGACATGGTTGGTGGCACCATTATATCCCCCCTCGTTTCTGGTAGCCATAAACCTTGCAATATTTGGTGGTGGCGGGGTAGGGGTGGGCTGCTGTGTGAGGGAGAGAAAAGGTTGGAATGGTAGGAAAGAGTGTTTGTGAAAGCAAAGCCACTTTAAGGCTATGAAAAATTGGACATCAACGTACAGTCTCCATAGCCTCCCCCCCTTTGCATTCAATATTAGAACCTTTTACCAATCTAGCACTTTATCCTTAACCAACAAAGCGACTTCTATTAAATAGCTGCTAGTTTCCTTTAAAATAGTGGTTTTTTAAAAAGCGTTTTATTATGCATGGTGACCTGCACTCCTGTTTGTGTGTGGGAATAGTAGGATTTGCCACCAAATCCCTCCAGGAAGCAATGGTTTCCCCCCCCCCTTTATTTTTCCTGCTGTGAAAATGCAAAGGTGGCTGTGTTCTCATTAAAGGCTTTTAGCATTCAAGGGTGCAGACTGACCTCCTAGTCTAACAAGACTGAGGTGTGTTTTCTTACCTTGATTAGTTTCCCCAATCTTAGGTTTTTAGTAAGGTTCAGCTAGATGACTGTGTGCTTTTGTAGCTGGTAGGCTGGGCTAGAAATAGTTCATTGGTCTAATTATGCTAGTAATTAGTATAATTGATAAGTACTTTTCACCTGTAGGAATGGTGTGACAACTGTTTTAGGCCCTCCAGACTGTCTCTGCATTTAATTTACAATACTGCAAAAATATCCTGTTTTTTATACAAACATATCTTACAGTATATTTTAAAAAATTGGATTTATGTATTTTATATATTTTATATAGATATAAAATCATACACACACACACACACACACACATACATACACATATACTATATATAGTATTAAACTGGGTTAATGCTTATTTTACTTTCTAAGTATTGCAACTTGGTCTGATCTGCGAACTCAAATCCTCCCAACAATTATTTTAAGTATGACTTGGGAGTGATAAACTCTGTATCTTCCACTGAACAGGTAAGGTTCAGCCTTTAAAAACCTTAAGAACAGCACTTCTAGTCTCTATGAGGTGGCATATGCATATTTTGAAATGAACATAAACCTGTGTTCCATGCTTAACTTGACTGATAAATTAACCCATAAATTACTCAAAACAGTTGGGTTCACACAACCCACAAGGCCATAATTTTTCTAAAACCAGGGTTAAAGCTAACAAAACTTTTCTGACCCTGTTTATGTGTCATAAACATACAAAGTTATTTGTTATGTACATCCACAGGTATGGACCTGTGCAGAGAACAGAGTGCCTTGTTGTCTGCAGCCTTCCTGACTGGAGATTAAACCTGCTTAGAACAGATCAGGGTTTTGTTGCAAGGCAAAGAGATTGGCCCCTGAGAAATTGTTTCCCTATCTATTCTCTGCTGCCCCCCCCCCTTTTTTTTTTTACTCTGGCGCTTAATTCCTGGCTCAGAAGGGCATCCTTCACCAAGAGCCCTGCCTTTGAGACGTCTCTTGAGCCAATTCTGCTGAGATCCAGACCCCAAAGGACAAAGTGGCAGCTAACAAATCTCTCCAGCTTTCAATATATCAGGATCTGTGCAGCTATACCCAAGTGGGGAGGAGGAGGGTAAGGCTCCGAGGGGTACAGAGGAGCCTTGCCATACTTTGTTATTTTTAAACCCTGGAGAATACTCTCCCCCTCCCTTTCTGTAGTCTATTTGATAATTTCCTCCTCCTCCTCCTCTCTCTCCAGCAATCCGGCTTGTTCCCACCTTCCCTAAGGTTCAGAAGATGCCCTCCGGTTAGCGGATTTGGAGCCTTCTCGCTAACCCATCATTTGCATGTGTTTAGCCCTCCAATTGCCCTTTCTCCCTTGGCATTTGTCGGCCCTTCCCCTCCCTTCCCCCGCTATTCTCAGCTATTAAAAGCGGGCGAGAGAGGGTAGCCCGCCCGCGGAGGGAGGAGGGGGGAGGAGGCTGCGGTGGCCGGATCTTGTCTTTATTGATTGTTATGCAAATGAGTTGCAATGACTGATGTACGCCTCTTCTCTGCGTGTCTTGTGGATCTGTGTTTTTTTTTTAACCGAACCAAAACAAAAGCACACAAACGCAGCGGGTTCCCCCCGCCCTCTCCCCAGCCTTCCTCCTCCCACCACCCTCCCCCTCCCCCTTTGGCGTAGTAGACCTTTTTTCCGAAATGACTCTCTTTATTTCCAGTGGCGACGGTGCCCGGGCTTGAGAATGCCAAGGAAGAGCCGGCTGCTTGAGACTTCGCCGTCTGGAGAGATGCCCCCGCAAGAGGATTAGAGGATACCGCTTCCCCCCCTTCCCCCCCCCCCCTCCCTTCGACTCCCCCGGCCACCCAGCTCCCGCCTCCGCCCCCCCGACGGCTCCAGTGGCCCTCCTCCCGGCCCTGCCCTTCCCTCCCCTGGCCCTCCCCGGACCCCCCTTCCTCTCCTCCTCCTCCTCCTCCTTCCCTCCCACCCTGCTGCCCCAAGCCCACCCGCACCCCTTGGGCACCATGAACACCAACGTGTGCGTGGAGACGGGGCCCAACCCGGAGGCGCCGGGACTGCCCAAGGAGAACCACCTGCCCGACGGCGCCCTCAACAGCCTTGTGGATTACAACTCGGAGATGGAGCGCTACCGCTCCTTCGCCACCTTCTACAAGACCAACGGCGGGGCCTTCCCGCAGGCGGCCAAGATCGCGCGCATCACCACCCCCATCTTCCCCACGGCTGCTGCCGCCGCCGCCGCCCGCATCGGCATGTCCCCCTGGAACTGCGACACGGCCACGGCGGCCGCCGCCACCGCCATGCTGTGGGGCAGCGGCGCGGGAGGCGCGGGCGCGGGCGTCGGCGGGCCTAACCCGGCGGTCGCCGCGGCGGGCGGCGTGGCCCGGAAAGCAGCTGCCGTCGCCGCCGCCTCGTCGGTCGCCGCGCCGCCGCCGCCGTCGGCTTCCTCGCCCGCCTCGTCCCTGCACGCCGCCGGCAGGAGCGGCGGCGGGAGTTTGCACCACCGGAATGAGTCTCAGCGCCTCGGCAAGCCTGGCTGCGCGCCAGCCGAGCAGCCCACGTTGCAAATGGCCAATAATAATTTCCTCTCCACCTTAGCCCCGGAACACTGCAGACCTTTGGCTGGGGACTGCATGAACAAGCTCAAATGCGGCGCCGCCGAAACAGAGATAATGAATCTCCCCGAGCGCGTGGGGACTTTTTCCGCTATCCCGGCTTTAGGGGGCATCTCATTACCTCCCGGGGTCATCGTCATGACAGCCCTGCACTCCCCCGCAGCAGCCTCGGCAGCCGTCACAGACAGCGCGTTTCAAATTGCCAATCTGGCAGACTGCCCGCAGAGCCATTCCTCCGCCTCTTCGTCGTCCTCCTCCTTGGGAGCCGCCGGAGGAGGAGGGGGAGGAGGCGGGGGCGGCGGTGGTGGAGGAGGAGGGGGCGGCAGCGGCGGCGCGGGAGGAGGAGGAGGAGGGGGCGGCGGCAACCCAGCCAAGAAGAAGAGGAAAAGGTGTGGGGTCTGCGTCCCCTGCAAGAGGCTCATCAACTGTGGAGTCTGCAGCAGTTGCAGGAACCGCAAAACGGGACACCAGATCTGCAAATTTAGGAAATGTGAAGAGCTAAAGAAAAAACCTGGCACTTCGCTAGAGGTCAGAGGAGATGATTTCTTTCTTCCCAGCCTCCCGCCATCCCTCGTGAACCCCCTTCCCCCACCTCTTCAGTGCTTCTTGTCTAGTTTCAAGATGCAGCATCCCTTTTCCGAAGCCTCCTTCAGGTTGTGAGGGGGAGGGGAAGAGCCCCTCTCCTCGTGGTTGTCTCTCCGTAGTACTGTGCACAAAACATAAGCCACACGTCCTCAGCCTGGGGGGTGGTTGGGTGGGGTTGGATTGGACTGCTCTGTCTGGACCCGGTTTTGGAGGAAGGGGAATGAGGAGGCCGGTCCTCTGCAATAAAATCCCTGGCCGGGGCCTTGGGGCGGTTTTCTTTTTGGCGGGGCGGGGGGGGCACAGCCAGGAAATGCTCCCAGCCAGGGGTGCGGCTGAGGACTCCTGTTTGAAGAGATGCCGGGTCAGTTGGACGTGGCGGGGCGGGGGGGGGGCTTTTTCGACAGGCAGGAATACCCGGAAAGTTTGTCTAAATGGGATTTGGAAAGGAAAAAAAAATGCCACGAGATCGCTCAATTCCCGAGGGGATTCCCCCCCCCCTTTTGTAATCATTACACGAAGATTTCTTCTACTTTTTTTTTTAAATACACATTCCCAAGTTGTATATTACAAGTAAATTGATTGGAATCTATGGTCTATATTTTTATCTGTTACTTCAAGGTGTGTTGTTTGGTGACATGTAAACTTTTTACTTAATGTGAAAGTAATGGTGAAGGGCATTTTTTTTAAAGAAAGTCCAAACTCTTTAGTAGTCATGAAACTTTTTAAGTTCTAAAATAACTTTGGCAAGTATAGTGGATCCTTTCCTTCCTTATTTGCTGTGTAGATTTTGCTTTTGTTTGAAAATTAGAAGAGTTTACTTTTCTAAAGCTGATTCCACATCTTAAAATGGTCCTACATTCATCTAAAATGAAGAACTAGATAATTTTGGGGTTCGGGTTTTTTTTTTGATAATTTATTACAAGAAAACAATTGGTCGTGAAGAAGTTAGCCAAGCATACCAAAAGTAATACTTTGGATCATGATACATCCTTACCAAAAATAGCCCTTTGTAGTATATTTTGCAATCTGATAAAGAATATGAGTATTTGTGCTTGAAATGTATATGCATTTATTTTTAAAAACTCAGAATTGACAATGTATCATAGACCAGAAAAGGTATTCAAGTTTAGTAGACTTTTAAAAAGTAAAAGGGATATTCTGGATTTTCAGTTCATGTATTTAGTTTAGCAGTCAAAGAAGAGAAACATGTAAAATGATTTATAGCATTATTTTTAGATGGAAGAAAAGAGAGGAAATACTTGTAATGATTTAAACCTTGTGATTATTAAAACTATAGTATTACCAGGTAGATGAACCTATCAGATGAGTGTGTTTGATTTGAGAAATAAAGTTCTTTATGGAACTTTAAGATGTAAGCTGAAATTAGCAACTCAGAGTTGCACCTGTCATGAACAGGAGTTAACTTGTACAGGGATTTTTTTTAAAATTTGTGTTAATGTTACTACTAAGTTTACAATTTCATTTAGAAAAAAATAGGGAGGGAAAGGAAAGCACTTGAGTGATACTAATTTTTTCTTCTTCCCTTGCAAAATTGAACTATCCTTTTGGAAAGTTTAATAACTTATTCCGCATATATTTTCCATAGCTGCTTATTGTGCATATATGATAATTCAATATCACATTGATGCAACAGTCTCTACAGACTATATTTCAGCTGGTAAAAAACAGTTGTATATAAATGTACCTGTTATTTTTGGTTGCAAACACTCCTGTTTATTTCATAGAACGTTACCAAGAATGTATATTGTGATTTTTACAATAAACAGTAAATTTTGAATTTGAACACTAAACCATAACTAAAAATGATAACTTTTTTCTGTTCCTGGGTGCATTAAGTGTACTCTCCTGCACAATTTTCCAATACTCCTCCTTAAAAACCAATCTTGATTTTGCTAACTAGTTACAAACAAGAAAAGACTGCAGTTCTCAGCATGTTTACCAGGGATAGATTTCTTAAAAATACTTAAGATATACTTGAAAACTAATTGGACAAGATAAAACTGACTGCCCTATTCAGTCTTAACAAAACACTATCTTGTGTTGCTCTAAACAGATATGCCACCTTTGCACAGAAGTAAATTACACTAGAACTGTTTTCATGACTGCACTGCTAACTAGCCAAGCATATTTTACATTAGCTGCTTGCATGGACCAAGGCTATATGGTTAGTTTATAGTTCAGTTTATTATACAAATCCAGACAATAAGATTAAGTCATTAAACCATAACTTAATTTACTGTGGGTTAGTGTCTTATGCAAAGTGTTTACTTTCCAGCAAGTTAGTGCCAGATTTCAACCTTAGCAGTTAACTTGATAATTTCTGAGCAAATGGCATGTTTCTAAGCTTGTATTTGCTGAGAATCTTAAAATTCAGGAGAGAAGAAAATATTTACCAAAGAAAACTTCCTTCATCAACTTCTTGCAAATATTGTCCTTCTGTCCATTTAAGGGAAAACTAGCATTAGCAGGAAGTCTGTAGAAATTCTCAGTCATCCAGGTCATGGTTGTCCCAAAGATGCTTTTTCAGCAGGCAATTGGACTTTCATTCAAGAAGTGAAACATCTTCAAAAGAAAAAAAAGTCGAGTTGCCTCCTGAAAACGCACCTTTGGGATAGCATTAGCAGGCAAAATCTGAAGAAAAATTTGAACCTTCTCATAGTTCTCTGCATGTGTGCCTTTGATTTCTGTGGCTGAGATGCTATGTTAGCCTTAGATCATCTCTTTCCCTCCTCGACTGCAGCCTATAGATTGATGGAGTTGATTAGTTTTTGTCTGATGCGATATAGCTCCTATATCCTTAAGAACTTTGGATTGATTTCAAAGTTCATTTTCATCAGTGCATCTGTTTTTTGCAAAGCATCCTAACATATACAACCCTGTTTGAAACAAATACTAAAATCCTGTTGACTTCCACTCTGCTTCTCAAAAAGTAAGTTAGACTCGTAGCTGTAAAGTGCAATGATTAAATAATTTTTGATAATGAACATACAGAAACTGCCCTGACAATAAAGGGGTAAAGGGGTGGGAAAGAAATATATGTAAGAGAAAAGAGCATTCATGAATGACTCTAAGCACATTTTTCCTGATAAAGAAATTCTGCATCTTTAAACATTTCCTGGGGGGGGGGGGGAGGTGTATGAGATAATTGCACCACAGTTGTGGCCAGCAAAATACATATCACTACATTTGAAAACATCCTCACTTTAGTTACTTGTTTCTTTGTTATATACAAGTACCTGTGCAGGTATAGGTAATTCATGTAATGTAGCATCACAAAATAGCAACTTCAGTTTTAGCATACATTAATGTGCAGTTTTGGAGGTTCAACCAAATTGTTGAGCTAGTTATAGACAGTCTATAGCTAGCTCAACATCTTGTGTGAACCTCCAAAACTGAATCTGTTAAGTCAGCTGTAATTTAGTTAAATGTGGGGAACTATGTTGCAGAAAGACAATCTTGAGCTGCAGTTTTCCAATTTTGAAAAACAGATCTCTGCAGATTTCAATCTATTTCAGTCTAAATAATGGCAGTCATTTTCAAGTTAGAAAGAAGTCCAAATTTAGCCATTGTCTGTTGAAATTAGGATTTTCAACCTATTGTTTCTTTTCTTTTTCTACCCATTTTTATTGAGCAGTAAAGACAGAGCACAATTGTCCAAGGCACATAAAGAACTATACATCCAATGTTAAAGCAATAAATTGGAAGCATGTCGAAGATTGGAAGAGCATGTGTGACTGAACTGATGCTTCCCTTGTTTCAGACAGGAAGAGAAAGTTGGAGTGACTTGGTGTCTCTGTCCACAGCTAGCCTGGTAACAAGTCATCATAGCCTAGAGGGGCTCCTGATTTGAACAAATTCAGAACCAGAACCTGTTCTCTTCCTGTTCACAAATATGAACATTTTCTTAAAAAATAGTAAAAGCAATTCTTATTCTGGGTAGTCCTTTACTTAACAACAGTTCATTTAGAGACTCTTTGAAGTTACAACGGCACTGAAAAAAATGGATTATATGACACTTTCTCACACAACCATTGCAGCATCCCCATGGTCATGTGATCAAAATTGACTCAAAATATGGCAACTGACTCACATTTATGATGGTTGTAGTGCCCCAGGGTCAAGTAATCACCTTTTGCAATTTTATAACAAGCAAAGTCAATGGGAAAGCCAGATTCATTTAACAACCATGTTACTAACTTAACAACTGCAATGATTCACTTAACTGTTTATAAAAAAAGTTTATAAAATGGGGAAAAATTCACTTAAAAACCGTCTCATTTACCAACATAAATTTTGGGCTCAATTGGAGTTGTAAGTTGAGAACTACTTGTAGTCACAAGCCAACAAAAATCAGATACTTGATGTCTCAATTTGAATTTGAATGAAATGTTGCTTGCATCCTAGCTTTTTTAAAAAAAAGAACACTGCTTTTTTCTTATGTGAAGCTCACCCAAAGAACATTTTGATCACAGTTTTTTTTCCATAAAAAGACATTCTATAACAATATAACAATATAAAAAGTCCATGCATGCGAGGAATAGTAGTAAATATACAAACTAAAGATTGATGTCACACACAGCTCTATGTATTCACACCCATCCACAGCATTCATTTAGATTTATGGTAGGTTTAAAAAAGCATAATCATTATTTATCCAGGGAGAGTACTTATTTTTTCCCCATTAGTGTACATTAATATAATTCCTTCTGTAAATTATAGACTATGGGGCATGGCTCACTATCGCCTCTTTCATGAAGTGAAAAACCAAAGGGGATTTTGCATAAGGACATAACATCCATCTTCATGCTTTTTGCTTCCCAAACCCATTCCTATGGAGCAGAGTCAGGCAATCTGGGCTTGGTTTTAAATATTTCAAAACTGATCTCTGGAACTAAACACTCTTCCTGTTGAGCTACTATATT